TTACTTTCTTTTTTTTTTTTGGTTAAGAGATCTATTCTCAATATCTTCTATTTAAAATCTCCTCTTTATAAATTCTCGACGCGTATTTTGAAAATATACAAAAACGTCGATATCTCGTAATAACCTCTTACAGAGAGGAAGATAGATCGGGAAGATAAATTCTCGTCTTTCTCCACGGAAAGTTTAATCCTCTGGAGGAAAATTTCCAGTATCTCCGAGTTATAATACAGACGTTTAGAAAGCATATGCTTTCACGCGCGTACACGTGTATCGAATGGTAAACCGTGTACAGAGAATAGAGACGGTGAGTAATCCGGTTTGTAACACCGCGATGTAATATTGTTTATATACCGTGGGAATAGTTACAGTTCACGAATCCGGTCGAATACGAGAGGCATCGAGTTTCACCGACTTCCGAAGGCCATTACGAATTTCTGCGTTGGATTTCTCGTATATATCGAAATTTGTGTGCGTGTATGTGTGTATACAAGAGAAAAGTCTTTTAGTTAAACGATAAATTTTTACGATAATCGGGGAAAATAATTTTAGAAAACTTTGAAATTGAAAACTCGAGGATAAAAGTATAATTTGCAAATTTCAAAAAAAAAAAAGAAAAAAAAGAAAATAAATAAATAGAATATGACATTCCATAAAATTTCTTATACGTATACATAATCTTCTGAATTATTTTAACGGGACTTTATCGTAATTTGAAAACTCGAAACAACGATCACAGGTCTGTGCACAATTAAATTATGTTGTAATAGAAATATTTATCTAAAATTTTCTCAAACATTTTCCTTCGATCTCCTCCTCGTAAATGAATCACGAAGCAAGGATACTTGAGATTGCATCGAAGTTTGAGCGACTCGTTCCGTACGAATGACCGCACATTTTGTTTATCCTTTTGGCTCTCCCTGTAATTTCCTTATTCCGGAATAGATGGCGCACCGACCTGTCGCGAACAATTTATCGTCCCACGAGTCGCCACGAATCTACCGAAAACTCATCCGTTCAACTCGCATGCCATGCTTCCGAGCACATGAAAACTGGAAGGGATATAGATCGATACGATACGATACGAAAAGTTACGAAGAGTTCGAAAAAAGTGTATGTAGACAGATAGATAGATTACGTGGAGAGAGGAAAAAAAAAAAAAAAATTAAGGAAAAAAAGGACAGTAGAGAGAATATATATATATATATATATATAATTTTGAATGCGTATGTGCAGAAGTTCTAAAAAAACTACCAAGCGAAGCGGATAATCTACTCTTCTACTCTCTTATCCTTTCGACTTTTATATCGTTGTCATCGATCCTCGCAAAGCCCCTCTCTCGCTCCGCTTTATTATTTTATCTTCGATAAACGAGATAATAATAACATGGACATTTCAAAATGTGGAATTTTAAAATTGTTCTTTTCCAAAGTTTTGACGCGACGAATAATTTAGGATCAAGAAGGAAAAAAGAGACACGAGATAGTCTCTTCATTATATAGGGACAAAGCGACTCGTTAAACGGATACTTTTGAGATTTAACAAGCTTTGCCAGGTCGATACCCTCCTCCGTCGACGGAGTGCATCGGATTCATCATCGATCTCGTTTCTGTATCATATTCATCGAAAACGATCGCCTTTCGTAATCCTTTCACGTGCACTCCGAGGACAGTTTGCGTCGAAGCGACGTAGGAACCAATTTTTGCGAACAACTAAAAGACAAAACGTATATCAACGATAGTCTAAACTGTCGAGGGGGGAACACGAGGGTTTGCTCGTCACAAACTTTCTCTTCTCTGCAGGATGATGGAACGATTCAGAATTTTTGGATGTGTCGACGAACATTTGGCCTGTCGTTTCCCCTAAGCAGATGCGCCAGATGTCGCCGCTTTGTAGTGTCATATGCTCTCTCTCTCTCTCTCTCTCTCCTTCTCCCGCGAGAAGACGTAACCCTCGGCTCACTTTTTAAATGGCGAACGCCTCGACACCAGCTGGCGAACAAACAACCGTGAATTTTTCCCGATATTTGGCAACTGACTCGACCCCATCCCCAATTGTTCCCGTGCCAAACTCCAACCAAATATCCGTGACCCAGTAAATACATCTCTCTCGAGGCATCGTAGTGGTTAAGGAAGCTTGGATCAGCCGATGAGTTTACTCCTTTGGAATATTATTCAATGGAATACACGGGCAGCAAATGCAACGACACGAGAGAAACGAATAATGATTTCGCATATAAAATCGCGTTACGAAACGCACAAAGAAGAAAAGGGAGGAGTCCAGATTTGGGGATAAAATACAATTTTATTCGATACGATTCGGACAGAGAAGGAAAGGAGGCGTTAAGTCGAGGATTTGAATAGGAAGGGAGGTTGAAGGAGGGGAGAAGGATTTGGCTAGCATTCGACGACACATCGGGCAACAAAGAGATGGGTTCCTACGTCGCCGGGGAGAGTTGTCTTACTTGTTGTCGCCGTTGTCGTTGTTGTTGTTGTGTGTGTGGGCGTTGCGGACTTACGAATCGAAGTACGGCGGTAGCGGATGCGGAGCCTCCACCGCCAATGATTCCGGTTGCGAATCGCGGTCCGAGGTTTGAAAGCATCCTCGCCACCAGCCGAGACTCCCGGTTTTCCTCCTTTAAAAAAGCCGACGTGGATATGTGCCAAAGCCTTCTCTTCCGCCCAACAGCCATCAACCAGCCGTCGCTTCAACCATCAGCAACACGTCTCAACGGATTCGAGATCTTTCACCCCTTCTTCCCTCGAGAAATATCTTTTTTCCGCGTTTCCAGGAATACAGCTTTTTGCGTTCATTGGCTCTTTTATTTTTAGAAAAGAATTTTCGAACGGTTTTCTTATCGAGTTTTTGGTTATTTTTATTTAAGGGAGAAGAAACGAAATGTCGGGTTGGTTTCCTTCTTGGATTTTCGAATTGTAATGGTGATTTTCGTAGAGGGAAGTGCGCGAGTGGAGAAAAACGAAGCTCGAGGGAGATTATTTGGAATATGTGCGCGCGAATATGTTTTCGCGAGGAAAAGAAGCTTTTGATAAAAGCTAGAGAATCGTTTCGGCTGATCGAATTCTGTTTGATTTTCTACGGGGAAAGAGGGAAAAGATTTTTCTTGTCATCCGTTTGGGGGCAGGGTTCAGATGTATTTTCGATCAAAATATACACGTGAACGCTTACAGTCGATATTAATATTAATTTCGAATTTCAACTTTTGAAATTAAATGAAAATGTTGCTCGCTTTTGTTTCTTCGAATTTAAATTCAAAACTTCGCCCCTCCCTCTTTCTCCCCCCGCCCCAAAGATTCAGATTTAGTCCGAGCTCAAATTGGGTTTAAAATATTCGATCTTTACTCTCCGCAAGCGAATTGGGTCGAATTCGTGATGTAACTCGAACGTTTCACGTAACAAACTCCTCCTCCCGGAAATATCGATTCAAAATTCCGGAAAATTTTTCAATTTCGCTCTTTTTCGTCCAACGTCAACTTTAAACGCGTTAAAAAATTCGAAGGAAAACGTTCGATCGAATAAGTTCGAGCCTCGACAAATTCGCGATTCATCGTTTCTCGAGTCGAGCCCCGCATCTCTCCAAACAAAAATTTGGAAAATTCTTCGTCACGAAGTTGCGTCAAATTTCGATCAAGGAACGCGATCGGTCGAGATAACGTCACCTTCTCACTTGTCTTAGGAAAGTTTTCTCTTCCAGCCAGCGAAATTTTGTACCAAGAAGAAGATCTCGTGTCGTTGAGAAGTTCTGCTTAATAACGTACGCGCGTTCTTTCGTTTTCCCTGCCCAATTTTCTCCCAATTTTCTCCACTGTTCTAAACTTGGTAACAACACGGGCGAAAATTTGAAGCCGATGCGAGACAGTCTCGTTGCGGTGAAAAATACCTGGTTGATCGTGAGTTTGAGACGATTTTGTCCTGATTTCGAGTTTACGCCTCGAAAATGTTTGTGTTTGGAAGCCAGATATTTTTGCAATATTACGAACTTTTTAAAAAAAAGTTCGTAAAAATTATTTCACGTGTGTAATTATTTCACATCAAATTTTGATACAAATATTTTTCAAACTCTCTTTTTGCCGGCGAGGGAAAGAATAAATTGAAACGAAATTTTAACCTTCGTATAAATTATTCTTTCTACGATTTTCGCATATAATTATATCCTTATCGAATTTTGACAACATTCGAAATTTTCTTTTTGCAAGGGAAAGAATAAGTTGAGAATACTACGATTCTCGCGTGTTTATCACAATTTGGGATAGCTAAACTAAATATCCATGCAAATAACTATAAATTTTAGGAATGAAAAATACTAATAATGCGTGTTAATATATATCGAATAGATACAATAACTCGAAACTGAAATGAAAATAAATTGTCTACCATAAATTTAATTTCAATGGAAATCAAGTACAGAATTCTATCAATTCCATTCCATGTGTGTGGGGTTATTCTAGTAGCACGAGTCAATAATATTCGTCAACACGACAAATGCCTTCTACGAGTTCTTCCTCCTCCTCCTCCTCCTCCTCTAATAAAAGTAGCCTCGATCGATCCTTCATAAATGCAATCTATTTTCAATTTATCAAAGTCTCAAACTTACGATCAACGGAATATAGGAGAGAATGGCGCGAGAGATAAATAAAGTAGGAACCAGAAACGAATGGTACGCTCGTGCCGATATCACGATTAGGAAGTGGATCGATTTATCTGTATCAATTCCACCATTAAATTTCATGGAATTCGTTCGAGAAGGAATATTCCTTTTTCGTACTCGAAACAAAAAAAAAAAAAAAAAATAAAGATCAAAGTGATTTTCGATTAACATTTACAATTTGAACGAGTAATGCTCTGGTTATTTCGATATTAAATTCGAACGAGTATTTTCCAGAAAATATTTCTCCAGAACTTGTACTCTTTTTAATTAACGTTCGATCCCATCCCTACTCGTATACGTATATGCGTTTGAATGCATACACGCGAATATTATATATAAATATATGTACATTTTGTATATATATATATATATATACGAATTTAATATACGTGTATATACGTTCGTAGATAAGTGCATGCTGTGCGAGCCAGGCTCCAAGTGACGTCAGAAAATATAATATAATATAATTCAGGATTTAATCTCGATTCGCAGCTGTTACGAGAATCACGTTAATCGCGCACCACAGTGTCGTTAAAATATATCGAATTGATATATGTTTCAGAATTTTAAAGGGTTATTCCCTTTAGAGAATAAAATTTTCCAGAAAATTTCAGACTTTCCTCGGAAAAACGATACACTCGAACTTTTTGAACGAACAACCGTTTAACCTTCTCATCCCGTTACATTCGAGAGTATAACAAACAACAGTTGCTTGGCGCGCGAATCGAGCTGGAATCCCTGTTGTTGGAGGGCAAAGGTGGAGATAATTATGCAGTGGACATGCGTGGATCTGTACGGGCCCGCTTCCGCTTTCGCGAAACGCAATCGAGCAGAGAAGAAGCGTCGATCCGAAAAGATTTGGAAACTTTTCAGATGGAAAGCTTGGAGCGTTGTATCTCGTTTCGAAAGCGGGTTGAAACGAGAAGCGAAACACTTCGTTAGCTTCGACAAACTTTCTCTCCCTCCCTTCCTCCCTCTCCTCCCCGTTTTTTCGAACGATTCCCTTTATCCTCGTCGTTTCACGGCGAAGAGAGAGGACGAGAAAGAGTATAAATGAATCCCGTTCTTTTCACACGCGCGTTTAAGCTAAGACGAAGGCTTACTTGGCTTGGGGAGGTTTTATCCCGTGCGCCTCCAGGTCCTTCTCCAATTGCCTGATCCTGATCCTGGCCATGTCCAACTCGTGCTTCACCTTCCACAAATGCGTGTCGCATATCGGATCCCTGCACCTGTGGTACCTCAGGATATCCTGCGCCTCGTACACCGCCCCGCGGAACGTCAGCGACTTTCCCATACTCTTCGAAATATAATGGATATACAACGTTTTACATCGAGAAAATATTCTCTTACGCGGAATCGTGTCGAGAGAAAAGGATGATTCGAAACTGTCTTCGTAATTTTTAAAATAATATAAAACACTTGTATTTCTTATATTTCGCTCCCCATTTTACATACGATTTTAAATCCTTGTCGCTATTATTATTCATAGTTTTTTGGAAGAAAAATCGTGTTTTTTGCGGTGTTTTGTTTACGCGAAAATTGATTTATCATTGATTATTCGCGTTAAATGATATGAAAATAAAGTCACCAACGAATGTATGAGTATATGGGTCAGTTGTTGCTAGGTAAAGAACAAAAATTAAGTCGAAGCGCAAAGAGTCGAGACACGCGAGGGGAACGAGATGGATCGGGGAGAGTTCGGCTCACCAGGCTGAAAAGCGCGCAGCAACCGCCTCCGTCGCTTCGCGCCAGGTGCTGCCTCACGTATTTGAAGTACAAATGTTCCAAAAGTAGGAAGGCGGCGGCCAGAAGGATCCCCATCATTAACAAAAGGAAGGCGGACAAGAATTGCTCGAGCGCCAGGGGATCGCTGCTCTTTTGCACCTCTTTGCCCGGCTTGCACGTCCCAGTCATCCAGTACCTCCTCAGCCGTTCCAAGTCCCCTGCAATTTTTTTCTCCTTCCAGTATTCTTCCCTCTAACGAGAATAATGGGTAAAAGAAAGAGAGAGGGGGGGACGAGGAAAATTTCGAAGGGGAGGAATATTCTTAACCCTTTCGTTCCATCGCCCTTCGTAAAATTTGCATAAAATGCCGCGTATGATATGACGGGCGATTGCACATCGGGTATCTTTCATTGGAAGATATTTCGTTTTCGATGAACACCGTCAAAGCAACTTGCGGTTGCTGACGATTTTTTCTCGAGCATCGTGCCACGATTCATTCAGTGTCGAAAGGGTTAATAAATTAGCGCCTGCTAACTTGCTTAGACATAAGTGCATAAGAAGATTTGCTTTTGAGAGTATTGAAAATATTAGCTTTGAAGCAAGTTATTTTAATCTTGGAAGATTTTGTTTCTTCTTTCCATAAGAAGATGGATCGAGATGAAATGAAACAAAGCGTGCATATGTAGGATACCGTTGTCCCTGTAGTCGAGGAGACGTTTGTTGAACATCTGCAGGTACTTGGAATTCCTGGAGAAGGCGAGGCCGTATCCGGTCATGGCGTACCAGGATCCAACGGTTAGCAATCGGCAGTCCTCGTCCTGCGCAACCAGATAGTCGAGGACCGTTCCGTCGTAGATGAACGCGTCCATCTCTCTGTCGGAAACGATGAACGTTGCGTCAGAAAATTCGTGTGAAACGAACGTTGACCAGTCTCGAAGAATAATCTTTCATCTCGGTTTCGTTCTTCCTCGACCGAGAAATTTCTTCAATTTAATTTAATCTTGAATCGTTGAATCGTTAATGTGCGGCTTTTGCAATTTCCGCGAAAAATTGATAAAAATTTTGAGGAAGAACTCCCCCATCGAGAAATTTGATTGGAAATTTGACGATGAAATTGAAAGAATGGGCACTTAACCTACTAACGTTATGCATCGATGCAACGTTTTCAATTCTCTTTCTTTTCCTTTTTTTTTTTTTTTTTTACGTTATTGAATTTTAGTTTTTTAATACATTCTAAATTTGGATTTGCTTCGCATTTTTCCGCTCCTAGATTTTTTCGTTCGAAAAAAATTTGTTCATCGTGATGGAACAAAGATAAGAAAGAAAAAGAAAAGAGGGATTAAAACGAAGGGCAAGAATGGTCGAGAGTAATAACCCCGTAGCCAGGGAAGTTAATCGCGCGATATTCTAAAATTAGCATAAAATCTGAAACAAGCGTGCTCCAACCAACTTTGATCTAATTAAACTCGATCCAACGTTTCCAAATTAGTTTTAATCCGAATTTCATTAAAAACTCAACTTTCCACGTAATAATATTCTAAATTCAGCGGTAAAAGCTTATCTCCTTTCCGGAAGAATCATCATCTATTCCCCATTTCGCGCCATGTAATTTACACCGCTTGTCGCGCACACCTTTTGCCTCGTCTGAACGGCGCACTGATCGCGGCCAAACCCTAAACTCGCGGAGATTAAACGAGCAACTCCGGCGCGGGAACTTCGATAACGAGCCACGTATACATAATACGCTCGCGTTTACCGCGGTTAAGCGACGATTCGACCAAGTTTTAACGCGATTTAGTTTCCAAGTCTTAGTTTTATTGACCGCGTTTTCGAAACATCGATTCTTTTTCCTCTCCTCTTCCCCCATTTTCTTAAAGAGCGTGGTTTAAACCCGTGATACGATTCATCTGTTTATCGATTCTCGCGTTTAAAGATTAAACTTGACTTCAATATAAATTAAATGAATAGAAAATACGAAAAGGTGATTTCAATGATATTATTATTTTAACGTAAACTGTTCATAAACTACACCGTTTGGATCTCTTGCACAATCAAATATATGGGGATCTTTTAGAAGATAGAAGAATATGTTATATCTGAGAGATTAAAATTGGAATGATAACATTCAAAATCTATCTAAAAATGGGAGAAAATCGAAATAATCTTAGGATATTTCTGAAAAATTAATATTGAAATGAAAAAAATTTATCTAAAATTGGTATCATGAAAAAGAAAGAAAATTTCTGAAAGACATTGGAACGAAAAAAATCCAAAATCTATCTAAAATTGGGAGAAAATCCAAAGAATAATATCTTGGGATATCTCTGAAAGACGAACATTGGAACGAAAAAAATCAAAAAATCTATTTAAAAACGGGAGAAAATCGAAATAATAATATCTTAGAATATTTCCAACATTGGAAACATCGATTCTTTTTCCTCTCCTCTTCCCCCATTTTCTTAAAGAGCGTGGTTTAAACCCGTGATAGGATTCGTCTGTTTATCGATTCTCGCGTTTAAAGATTAAACTTGACTTCAATATAAATTAAATGAATAGAAAATACGAAAAGGTGATTTCAATGATATTATTATTTTAACGTAAACTGTTCATAAACTACACCGTTTGGATCTCTTGTACAATCAAATATATGGGGATCTTTTAGAAGGATAGAAGAATATGTTATATCTGAGAGATTAAAATTGGAATGATAACATTCAAAATCTATCTAAAAATGGGAGAAAATCGAAATAATCTTAGGATATTTCTGAAAAATTAATATTGAAATGAAAAAAATTTATCTAAAATTGGTATCATGAAAAAGAAAGAAAATTTCTGAAAGACATTGGAACGAAAAAAATCCAAAATCTATCTAAAATTGGGAGAAAATCCAAAGAATAATATCTTGGGATATCTCTGAAAGACGAACATTGGAACGAAAAAAATCAAAAAATCTATTTAAAAACGGGAGAAAATCGAAATAATAATATCTTAGAATATTTCTGAAAGACCAACATTGGAACGAAAAAAAAATCCAAAATCTATCTAAAATTGGGAGAAAATCCAAAGAATAATATCTTGGGATATTTCTGAAAGACCAACATTGGAACGAAAAAAATCAAAAAATCATTACACATCGCGTAAAACAACATGGTGGATAAATGGACTTACCCGCTGATAACCGCCTCGATCCCCTCGGCCACGCTGCTCTTGTTGAACTCCTTCATGTACGTGTGCATCTCCTTGAAGTATTTGGCCAACGTGCTGTCTGTATGGCTCCAAGGTATCGTACCGAACTTGAACATAGGCTTGTGGGACCACGGTTTGGCCAAACGGTGATCATCCACGCCCGTGAACTCGTGAAACTCCTCCCTCGTGATCATGAAGGCGGCCAGGTTGGCAGTGTAAATGGCGAGAAACACCACGGCGAATAGCGCCCACACGTTTGTCATGAATCTGTGTCGGAAACGGACTCTCGTCACAAACTTTAGAAAAAAAGTTCGTTTTGAAAGGAGTTGGTTTTTTAAGACGATTCTTTTTTCTATCTTTGGATAAAAGTTCCCACTTGAACTCTAAAAAGAAGTCTTTTCTTTTTCCAATATTTTTTCGAGTCGAGTTAAAGTTCTTTGAATGAAGGGAAAAAAAGGATCGTCGAGAGGAGATCGGTCGAAACTTGAAACTGAAGATATTTTCGATATCCATCGAAAGAGAAAATCATAACGTTCCGCGATTGATCTTTAAATTACACGCAGATTATCGTGTAATCATCAATTTTCAATTTCGTTTCGAGTCAAGATATTGATAAATTAATTAAAAAAAAAAAAAAAGAGATCTCAACGATATCTCACGACTGTCGTGGACAAATTTTCGTATACGTTTCACGCTGCGCACATTTTTATATTTTGCGATAACACGGCTGCTGGCAGATCGTGTATTAATACTTCTACTGTAATAACGGATACACGTTTCGAGACTTTTATTTACGAGCTGACGGCATTCTTTCATCCACTGTAACAGTATTATATTTCCGCAGGAGATATTACTGTTACATTTTTCTCTGTTTACAAAATGTAACGAGAAATATAAAATATTTTCACCGGTTGAATTATTATTATTATTATTATTATTATTAATACGAAGCATCCTCGAAATCATCGGGACAACCGAGAAAGGAAAATATTTTATTCTCGAAGTCTTGTGGCGACTTGTGGTGAAATAAAACGAGAGAGATGAATAATTCTAATCCACATTTCTCTTCTCATTTTTTAAATCAACAATCGATCTCTTTCTTTCGAATTATGTGTATCAGAATTGTGGAAACACCGTGTATATATTTTCGAGAATGGCGGTGCGAAATAATTCACACCGCCATGTTTCCTGCGTTTCGAATTCCGACCACGCGGCCGGAGAAATAAAGGTGTGTAATAAATAAAATGTTCACTTTTCACGGATAACGTTGAATACAATTTCTTCTGGTATAAGAACACCTCTCCGCCATTCGAGGAACGTATATTTCATTCTTGATCCAACCTGAGATATTGTCTTCCTCACTCGAAAACTCGCTTTTCGATATTTTTTTTTTTTACTTATGCTTACGAGTGCGTTGAAATTTATAATCGACCAGATATCGTTTTCCGCGTGGACGATCTTTTTTTGCGATATCGAATCGGGAAATATGTCGTTCGCGACAACAAATCTACATTATTCCGTAAAATATTCCAAACGTGATTATAGATAATCGTATAAAAATTCGTTTTTTAAAATCTCTAAATATTATTTCCATATCGAGAATCTAATAAATTTACATTTTAAATCGAAAAAAAGTAGAAGAAGAGAAAATTTAATTGACCATATATATATTTCGCTTTCTGCCTAGATAATTCCGTAAAATATTTCAAACGTGATCTCTAAATTATATATATTTTCCAAACGGCAATATCGAGAATCTGATAAATTATTTTATAACCGAAAAAGATAGAAGAGACGAAGAAGAGAAAATTTAATTGACCAGATATATATATATATATATATATTGACAATCTTCTACGATATCGAATTAAAAAGTACATAATTCGAACAACAAATTTACGTTATTTCGAACGTGTAAAAATTATTTCGTATAAATGGCAGTATCGAGAATAAATTCATATTTTAAAAGAAAAAAGAGAAAGGACATACAAATACAGATCCTGCTATTTTCGTTCGTACGATCCTTCCTCGACCGAGAAGGGAACACGGTGTTTCTCGAATAACCTTATTCCACGCTCTCCCGCGAGATATGATTTGTGGCGAGGATTTTAATTGACGGTAGAAATTGTTTTACCGACCTGGCTGTGAATCCCCTGGGAGAATCGATATGGACGGCTGCCTGAAATAATACGGCCCAGACCAGCCAGTACGTCCGGCAAAAGGAGAACCGATGATTGGGCGATGGATTCTTCTGCAATCATGGAAAAAATACCAGTCTCGGTCTGTTTCAAACCGGTTCGTAGCGGCAACGTTGCAATAATAAGAAAACGTTCTAATCGAGTGAAGCGGGATTTTGAAATTTATCCTCGAATTCGTACAGCATTATAATAATTCGTTCGAGTCGTAGGACGAGATTAAAATCGCAAGAATTTATAAACAAGATCGATATTTATAATTTTTTATTTCACTGATATTTAATTCAGTGATTCTTCGCTTCGAAGAAAAATCGGTCTTCTTGACCGACGGAGGCAATTTGTCCGCGAACGAAATCGAGTGTTTCAGAAAAGGAAAGAAAAAAAAAAAAAAAGAAAAAGATGCTTTTCTTTCGAGCAAAGAAGAAGAAGACGAAGCGTCTTCTCGCGAAGGAAAGGTGGTGGGAAGAAAAGTGTCGGCTCGCGATCGATCTCTCTTTTTCCCCGATGCGAGGTTGACGTTGGGATTAATGTTTGTCGCGCGACAGGCAATTTGGGATTGTTAGAGCAGAAAACGTGGATAGCTAATAAGAAGCGAAATTAACAGTAATACCAATAGTTTCTGCGCAGCGTCTGAAGGGTTTACCTTCATGTTGAAACCGGATGGTGACAACCATTCGAACAGAAGTATCATTATCGTGGCCGCATGTATGGCTACGATCCCGACTAACATCCAGGACGCGGTGTCGAATGGTTCTGGAAACGGAATGTATATTGGCATGGATGTAAATTTTTGATGAAAATTTTTACTCGATTCGAAAAAAAAGAAGCACACAAGGTGTTCAATGGAATTCACTTTATCGGTTTGTTGTTGATCAGTTTTTAGTATTTACCAAGGAAGGCAGTGGGGGATATTATACCAGTCCTCTTGGCCACCACGATGGCGATACCGGTCTCCATGTACGGCACCGTGAAATCAACCACAGCCTCTCTTTCCGAATTGATCATCAGAGATGTCATTACCATGTCTGTTTTCCGATTCACCAGATCGGCTATCAAACCGTTCCATTTCCCGTTCTGCGAACAGAATTAATGTCCTTTATATTACATTTTACACGAGAAAAGTTATCACCAGAAACGGATTTCAACGGATTAACGGAACGGATCGACGACTAAAATTGAATATTTTATTTAACCCATTTAAAATTGTTTTAATATCGAAAAAAAAAAAAAGGATTTAATTTGAAATATCGATCGATCTCGATTTTTAGTAGTAGTTTTAAATTTATTTTTTGCGAAAAACTGGAAGATTAAGTATTTTTTTTTTTTTTTACTTTTTTTCGTGTAATGATAAATAATTTAATACGTTTCTTTGTTTTCGTTCGTAACAAAAGTGTAATCGGGACACGATTATTGACGTTATCGAAGAACGTAATTGCAATCGGCGACTAAAAAGGATTGGCAATATCGGCGGTCCAATTTTCAAGAAGACTACTTCTTCACCGATTATTATCGAAACTAATTCCTTTCCATTTCTCCGGATTAAGATTTCGCAATTGATTTCTCATAAAATCCTACGATTTATTCCTAATGTTTATCTTCGTCAACAAAAGTCTAACGTCGAACGATAATCTAAAAAAAAAAAAGAAAAAATATAAACTCTATTTCAACCAAATTGAATTTACCAAGGATATTTCTCTCTTCAATTACAACACCCCTTTGATCAATTGCATTTGCACTCTGACGTTTGTTTCGAAGGGATCGATAAATATAATTAATTACCTCGAGCGTGCCCCATTTCCCGTCTTCCACTCTGACGAGCTCGTAAGTGAACCCGATCTCCTCGGAGAACTTTTGCAGAAGGTCGATGCAGAATCCGCTGCAGCACTGGAAAAAACTCTCGTTCTTCTGGGCCGATTGCGTGTCCATCCTGGAAAAACGACGTGGCACCGATAACACGGGGGCGCCGATTTTTGCCTCGCGGCTGCGCACTTCATTCCTCCCCTTTCTCTTCCTTTTACCATCGGTCGGTAAAAATGCCCTCGAGACGAGGACGATCGTGAGGAATGTCGAACGAGAAAGATGAACGTTTTGGGGGAAAGATGAATAATAATAAGAAATAAATTGTACTCGAATTCGAGAAATTTATACGCGTGGATCGACGAGTCGCTTATGGCCAAGTCGTGGCGCTCCAAGTGAATACGTAGCAGTAGTGGGGCGATTCACTGCATCTGCTCGTGACAAACTCGATGCTCCTCTCGTGTGTATTGTTTCCGCGCCCGGTTGAATAACGCTCGTTTTCTACGTGTGCAGGCAACGACCTCCCTTCGAACCTTTACATTTTTCCCGGAATCGGAACACGCGGTTGTCGAAAAAAGATCCAATAAAACTTTAAAACTCTTCGATATGAAATTTATTAATTCGTACTTCGATCGTTAATGCGAACGAAACGATAAATTTTCCCGAATTTTGAAACTCTTCGATCCGAAATTTATTAATTCGTACTTCGATCGTTAATGTGAACGAAACGATAAATTTTCCCGAATCACGCGGTTGTCGAATTTTTTGAAAAAGAATAAAAGATTCAACTTTAAAATCCTTCAATCCAAAAATTGAATTGATACTTCGATGCGAACGAAATAATAAATTTTCTTGAATCGAAACACGTGGTCGTCGTCGAATTTTTTGAAAAAAGATCCATCTTCAAAATCCTTCAATCCAAAATTTAATTCATACTTCGATCGTTAATACGAACGATTTGCAATTTTTAAAATTGTCGAATCTTTGATTCGCTGTATGTCCGAACATTCCAAAGATGGATACGATTTCTGAGCTTGCAAGCTGGAACATTGCTGTTTCAATGTTATTTCAATCGTTACTTTACTTTTCTGCGTTTAGATATTATATTCGGATTAAGAAACGGGATAAATTTTCCCGAATCGAAGGACACTGGTTATCGAAAAAAGATCCAACTTTCAAAATCCTTCGATCCAAAATTTAATTGATACTTCGATCGTTAATGCGAACGAACGAAACGATAAATACGCGTTTATTCTCCGTGAAACTTTGATTGAAACGATCGATCTACGAAGCGGGGCCAATCTCCTCTATCCTCTATTATAAAAAAAAAAAAAAAAAAAGAAATTCTACCCGAACGTTGCAAATTAACCTCTCCATCAATCTTGTAAGAACCATCGTATAAGGAGATTAAACTCGTCGACTCGAAGGGATTAAACGGTGGACGATTAAGCGGGAATCATTATCGGCTGTCCTTCAATGTCCTTCCCTCCGCAAATATCGATAAATATCGAGTGTCGATCCAAACTTTCGTTCTTTCGTTTAAAACGAAAGAAAATATCGAGATGGTAGGCCGAACGTGTCGATTAACGCGTAATATTTTGTTAATAGTTAATCGTTAAAGTGGTCGATTAATTAATTAATCAAGATTCTCGCGATGGAGGAATAAATTTGAAATTTGGAGGAAGGAAGGAAGGAAGGAAGGAAGGAAGGAAAGGGCAGCAACTCGAGGCTCGAGGGATTATTATTACGCCGCTGGAATTCAGCCAGCTGACAAGGGAAGCAATAACTGGACACTGTTGTTTGCTTTAGCGTCAACCCTGACTTGTGTTTCGACTTGCAAACGAGTAATGCAGCATGGAGGGATAATTTGCACGTGATACGACAAGATGTCATTTCGATGGCGTTTCGGATGATTTACCATGGATAAACAGCGAGAAATGTTTATATTAATGTTACACGTGTTTACGTGTATGAGAGTGATCGAATAGTTATAGGAAGAAAAGCTCGTGTAATTGGATTACAAATGGGGAGGGGGGGAATTAAAGTTGAAGTTTCGTTATATGGTGTAATACAGCGAAAGAATTTCTTTTCTCTTCGGGTTATAGTTGGATACTTTAGTCGACGCGATATTACGAAATATTACGAAATGTTACGATGGATTATCGAGGAGACGTTGTTAATTCGTAAAAAGATGTAAAAGAAAGAAAGAAACTGCAAAGGAATATCCGAATAAACAGTAGAAAAACAGTAGAGGAATATTTTATGCATTTTTAACGATGAAAATATTTAAAAAGGTGTGTGTAAATATGGGAATACATACTTGCATCTGATTTCTCTAATTTTATTTAATCATTAAATTTCTGGATAATATAATATTCAGCTTTAATTAACACGACACAGGAATTCATCGTACGAATTAATCGTGGTTCGTTTCGATAAAATTCAATATTTCTCCTTCTATTTTCTCGTTCTCTCCTCGTTCGAACGTTTGTTTCAAAATCTCACCGCGCGATGGCGTACGCGAGTACTGGGACAAAACCAAGAGTGAAAAATACGAATGGAAACGTGAATTTTCCCTCGATCGAAAGATATTCACCAATGGTTTCGCGATTTTGTTGGTCGACTGCTTACATAAACTCTTACGTAAAAAACTCGAATCGACAAGTTAGACGCATTGAAAGGGAAAGAAAGGGAAGCTTTGTACCAGGGGAAGTTTATACGCGAGTTTCTTACGTATTGGCTATTTTTGTTCACGCTCATAAAAGTTTATGGAGTTTCTTCGTCGAATCGATTCCACTTGTTCACGATTCCTGCGGTGAATCGACATTTTTTCGAAGAGTCAATCGTACGAACGAGGATACATTATTCTCATAATCGTCCATTTTTTCGTATTTTTTTCTTTTCGCACAAGTTTCCTTGCAACTTTTCGAAGTTTATAATTTGCGCAAACTGATTTCTCGAAATTAGTTCGAGGTTTCGTTAATAGTAATAATATAATTTATATCAAGCGAAAAATTGTACAAAAATTGAATAAAGCGTATATAATAGATGGTGGAATTTTAAAATTTACAGATAATATATTCTTTTCTGAGGAAAAATATATTCTCATACACTCAAAAGAAACTAGAGAAGAATTTTTCCTGAAAAATTTTTAATATAGTTACCGTATGTCGCGCGAATTCTTCTTCTCATTTTATCAGATTAAAGTAATATAAAGTTTCCAAATACAAATTTTATCCAGAATCAGAAATTCCGGATCAAAAGATCATCTCTTTCGAATTTTCGTTCGAAGAGACAGTTTTTTTTTTTCGCTCGAACAGAATAGAACTGGAAAATGAAATGTGAAAATTCAAATTCCAAGTTTCGTAAAAATAGCAAAATATAAGAGGAAATTTTCATCTCTTAAAAATTATTCGTTTGTTATAATTCTTTCTCTCCTTTGGGCGAATATTTCCAATGACACTTTTACAGGGAGACAGAGTTTATTCATCTTTCGAGTTTTAATCCCTTTTCATCTTTACATTAACATCATTCTGATAATTTTTTTTTTTAGACCGTTGCAGATTCTCTGTTTCTTCTCCGTCGAAGGGAGAAAAAGTTGGGGGTAATACGATCCTCGCGTTTCGACCTACCCCTCCTTTTTCTTTTTAATTTTTTTTTTCACCTCTATATCCAATTACTCGTTTTGGCACGTCTCTTCCGTTTTAACCGCGTCACACAGAAAGAGTAATTATCTTCCTTTTTTGTTGGCATTCCGCCACATCGTTTCCACTTTAGGGACAAAGAGATTCTATCACCTATTGTACCTTTTATTTTCAGGGAACAATCTTCCCTTTCTAATGTCCCTCTTTATAGCGTTTCATTTCCAAGGGATTCGAACGAAACGCTCCTCGAATCTAATCTATAAAACTATTAACGTGAAAATTTTAAACAGAAGTTTTGCATAAAGAAAAGAAAGGAAGGAACAGATTCGTATCGTCGAGCTTCACTTGAATCTTCGCCAAAATTATAGTGGCTATATATATATATATATATATATATTCATTTGTTCAAGTTTCTTATATATCGTGAAAGTGAAACAAACAAATTCAATACGGCGTCTGATTCTATTTTAGAACAAAATCTTTGTCGAATTTATGAATCATTTATTTTTATCATTTGGAACAAGTTTAAATTTGTTCTTTCATCCAATACCGCGAAAGTTAAACGATGTTGCGAATCTTCATCATAGTTTTCCTTGGAACGAAAGCTTCTAAATAAATTTCTCCTTTCGTTCAATATGCCATGAAAGTCGAACGAGCAAATTCAACGTTACGATCTTCGTGTCAAGTTCTACTTAGAAGAGAAAAAATTACTTTGAAAAATTTTCGTTAAAATTATGGTAGGTGTATTTATCACCTACCATTGTACGAATTATTAATTAAATTCGTTCTTTCATCCACATACTATCATATATTTCACTTAGAACAAAAGCTTTTCGTCTGAAATTCTTCTTTCGTTCAAATACATCGCGAAAGTGAAACGAGGAAATTCAACGTTGCGTCTTCTGTCTGCTTCGGAACAAAATCTTTGTCAAAATTGTGATGGATGCTTTTATTTATTTCCACCGCATCGTACGAATTCAAATTTCTTCTTCCGTTCAATATCGCGAAAGTGAAACGAGGAAATTCAACGTTGCGTCTTCTGTCCGCTTCTACTCGGAACAAAATCTTTGTCAAAATTGTGATGGATGCTTTTATTTATTTCCACCGCATCCTACAAATTTAAATTTGTTTCTTTCATTGAATATCGCGAAAGTTAAAACGAACTTCACAGTGTCCTCGCATTTTTCTTGGAGGAAAAAGCTTCGTCTAAATTTCTCCTTTCGTTCAATAAATTCAACGTTACATCTTCATAGTCATAGTGTCAAGTTCTACTTAGAAAAATTTTCCTCAAAATTATGGTAATTTATCACAATAATTAATAACAATAATTATAACAATGATTAATTGAATTTGTTCTTTAGCTTCGTCTAAATTTCTCCTTTCGTTCAAATATACCGCGAAAGTCGAAAGAACGAGCAAATTCAACGTTACATCTTCGTCATAGTATTCAAGTTCTACTTAAAAACAGAAAAATTTTCGTCAAAATTACGTATAACAATACATATTTCACTTAAAACAAAAGCTCCGTCTGAAATTCTTCTTTCTTTTCAAATATAAAGTGAAACGAGCAAATTCAACGTTGCGTCTTCATCGTATCTTCATCTATTTATACACAAAATTATTTATTATTTTCATTGTGCATTTAATCCTTCGTGCGAAAAGATACGTCTGAAATGCAACTGCTGTTATAGGATCTCGAGGGATGGACTCGGCTCGAAACTCGAAATCTGGTTAGTCATCGCGTGAAACGTCGTGGCCCGACGTTGGCGTGGATTGACAACGGCCAACTTGGTCGGAACTAACCAGAAATCGGAAAACTTGGACAGGTATCGGTGTCGGTTCAAACCGTGGCGCTCGATCGAGGCGACAACTCGGCCACCGTGCAGACAAATCTAAATAATCCGATCGATGTCTAATCGAAGAGTCGAGTGGAATCGAAGCGTAAATTCCAAATTATTTTCTTCTGCAAATCAGTTGATAAATTTTCTTACGAAAATTAAAACCAAATATCTATGTAATAACTTCTCGTGCCTTATCTCGTCAAGTTTTTCGAATGCTTTTGAATCCCTAATTACTTTTAACAAATTTTTGCGTTCTATCACGATATCTGGTGTAACTTTAACCTTTCGTAATCGTCGAGTTTATATTACGGCGCGACTCGTATTTACGCTCGAATAATATTTTGGCTTTCGTCTTTTCTCGAACCGGTGCGCGTCTCAGTCGAGCAAAGGCATCGGCATGATTCTACACGTCTATGTTCATTCCTATGTTTTATTAAATATATTCTCTCTCGCTGTTGGTCGAATCATTTCACAACATTATTCCTCAATGGTAATGGAATATAATTTGATTTATTCGAGGCTAAGTTATAATCCCACGAATTTTCCCCCAAAATAACTCGTCGAATATGAAAACGGACGTGTTCTGTATTTTTTTAAGGATTTTTCACCCGTGTTTTTGTCACCTCGTTGACCAGAGTGGAAAAAAATAATTTTGCGAAATGGGCTCGCAGGGCCAAAAGTAGGGCAAAGTTTTGAGGGGCAGAGTCGAGAGAGAGAGAGAGAAAGAGAGAGAGAGTAACATCCTCTCGTTGAACGTTTGAGCAATTAAGTGGACGCGGAGCAAACCGCGAAATTGTGCGTGAAATTGGTGGCAGATGGAAATTTACCGAATTGGAAATCAACTTAACCCGCTCCAATGTTCCATTCTGCTCGAATCGAATCGTAAATAATCGCGAGATTATTAAATTCGATGATCTTCGAATCGTTATTGCGAAACAATACCATCTATTCTTCGAGTTCTCGTCGTTCGATTTACAATTTCGATCGTTTCGATCAGGATTCGAATCTAGAATATAAATCTCTCCGCGAAGCAAGACGCGAATTTAATTCGAAAAATATTACACACGTTTCGCATTTATCGTTATTTAAATCATTATACCATCTATTCTTCGAGTATTCTGTTCGTTCAATTTACAATTTCGATCGTTTCGATCAGGATTCTAGAATTTAGATTCCTTCGCGAAGGAAGACGCGAATTTCATTCGAGAAATATTACACACATCTCGCATTTATTTAGATCATTAATTTTATTTATATCATTCGTTTTATAATTTCGATCGTTTCGATCAGGATTCGAATCTAAAATTTAGATCTCTTCGCGAAGGAAGACACGAATTTAATTCGAGCGCATTCGAGAAATATTACACATCTCGCACGATTTTTATCGTTCTTTAGATCATTGTATTCTTCGAGTTCACATCATTCAATTTACAATTTCGATCATTTCAATTCGAATTTAAAATTTAGATCTCTTCGCGAAGGAAGATACTAAAAATTTAATTCGAGCGCATTCGAGAAATATTGCACACATCTCGCACATTTATCGTTGTTACAAACGGATGGAAGGATAATTTCGAAAATTTCAAGGATTTCCTCCATGTTTCTAACAATTTCCAACTAAATTATATTCTCTATCGAAACGCGCAATTAAAAAGGAGGAAGCGGAAGGAGAGGTATAAATATTGCCGCGTATTGCGCGCGACATCATTGTTCCCTGAAAATTAAAATCCCTGATGCAGCGCGTTCGAACGAATTATGGACGAATGGCAGAGCGAATAGGAGAACAAAGACGAGAAAGGTGTTCTCGACTTGATAAATCGATTCCGTTCGCAGAATGATTTATTTCACCTCGAATCTCTTGTTTCGGATCGGCGTGTTGAAAACCTCGTAAAAATTTCGCCCCGATTCATAACAATATTGATTCATAACACCCATTTGTAGAGTAATACTTCTGGGAGGGAGTTGGAAAATGGAAAAAATGGAGAAAAAAAGATCTCCCTCGAGGAAAGGAATGCGAGGAGCAAGAAGCGTAAGGGTGGAAGAAAGGTGGAGCGAGGAAGATGTTCATTTCGTATGCATCCTCGAGAATGACTGTTCCTCCACCATTGCTCGAATCTCGCGTGGAAGAAAAGTGGAGAAAATAGGATTGGATTTACGAAACGCGTGCACCTTCGAATTGTCGATCGATCGACTTCGAGTCGATTGATCGATGGTGATCATAGTTTCATCGAAAGCTGCGAATCGAACGAATTTTAATTTTTAAATTAAACAAAAATTTCTCTCCTCCAAGTTTATTCAGGTGTTTCACCCGCGACTTTGATTTGAAAATCGATCTAAAATATATATTTTATAATCGTCGTGTTATATTTTCGCCCGATCGAAGAGAGAAATCTCTTTTCCGTGCGCGACTTCGCACGGAATGAAAACGCCGCGTAACACAGCGCGGATGGAAACGATAGATCGGAACAGGAAGTGACCCGATACCACGAAATCTATATCTATATCCACGAAACTGATTCGTGATCGATGGCGTGGAATATAGAGGCAGGAAGTGGTTCGAGGAAACCATAGAGGATTCTCTGTGCGTGTATAATGGAAAAGGAATATCGAAGGGGGAAAGATTTCTCGATTGAAAGAGTACGTAACAGAGTTCGAGATATCGAAGATTCGCGTTCAATGTAGGATGGATCGATTCGAAAGTTACGATCTCGGAAAACGGTATTTCGGATAACTTGTAAAAAAAAAAAGGAAAAAGAAAGAAAAAGTTGAATAATCGAATCGAAGCGCGAGAAG